GTCCTTTTTAGTAATAGCTTGTCCATCTGCAAAGACAGATTACAAAATAAGGTAAATAAATGTGAATTAAATAAATATTCTGATTACACTGGAACCTATCCAAGTCCCCACCCAGATAAGCCAGACACCTCCTGAGCCTCTTTTTTAATCATTCTGTGCATCTGTCTAAGACACACACATAAAGCTCGTCTTCAGAGTGTTTATCACCATTATCCTGTCATATCAAGAACCTATCATTTACCTGCATACTTTTTCCTCATTTCCAGAACAAAAGTCCGTTCCGCTGCTAGGTGGTGTAGTTTTTTTGAGTAACTGACACCCTTGTTTAAGCTTGAGGCGAGCAAAAACTTCTTTATACAAAGAACTTGCCACAGACCACTTCCTTTTAATTCCTTGTTGCCTCTCAATAGATGTTTGCAACTTCTCAAGCCTAAATAAAATATTACAAACAAGGACATCAGAAAGAAATATCACAACTGGCACTGAGTTAAAAATACTGAAGGATGCATGCAATTACTTTTTAAGATACTTTTCCTTGACACAATATTTGATTCCTTAAAAGAACCTTAAAGAGATTAAATACCATACACATGAGTATGCAGTTGAAGAATTTAATGAATCTCATATTAAATACTAATCTGTTTATACATCAGTGTCAAATGTTTTTGCATTTTACTGTTTTGGTTTTGATTCACACTTAGTTCCTACCTATAAAAATTTTTTGTTACATAAAGTTTACTGGATGAATGAATTTTAGAGATTTATTTGTGAGATTTACAGTACAAACCTCTGTATGTGTTTCTTTATTGATTCAACTTCCTGATCAGTAATCTCAGAATTGGACTGCAAGTTAAGCCTAGAAATAATAATGACAAGTTTTATTGTTGTTTATACTGTATCATAAGTACTTGTAACAGAGCACTAATGAGCTACAACATAATTCTATTGCAGTGATCACTTCTATGGATAGGAGATAATTATTAGTAATTGTTAAGCCTCCCATGGAAACTCAAACATGCCATGCACCATTCGACTTCAGTCATTTGTTTGAGTTTAGTGCTGTATAGATTATCCTTGATTATCCAATGCGTAACTCGAATGATTTGAATATCATTTGTGGGCTCTGGTATAAATGAGCCATATTTGACCGCCAAACTGTGCTATGTGATGTATTAAATAAGGGCAGTTAGGGAGAATGACTAGCTTTATATTTATTAAAGTTAATAATTGAAATAAAATTGGAAAATATAATAATGATAATAAAATATATAACAATCATTATTATCACTATCATCATGAAAATTCCTTGTAACTTACTTAAGATCGTTTACAGTGCTAAGGCTTACAACATACTTCTCATCCCATTCCAGCTCTATAGAAAATACGATAACGTTGGTAAATTATTGTAGCTGCAATAATTCCATGCTGATTTGATGCACTAACATACAGTATATTTAGTTACTACAATTCAGATCTATGTAGTAATGACTGTACCTATTTAACACAAGCAATCTAAATTTTAGTAAAAAACCAAACCCACGCATTTTTTTGGGGGAAAAATGGATATTTAAAAGCGTTCTATAAGTATCTGGAAAAAGTTGTACACAGCATTGAAAATTTATTCCTTCTAATACGTTTTGTAATGTAGGCATTCGTCAAGGTTCAGTTTCATGTATTGCGGATAACGCTATCCAAGGCATAAATTGCTTTCAAACGGATAAGTGATTGTAAAAGGCGTTGTATCCTGACATTTTGTAAAGACCTATCCAGTAGATAGCGTTATCCAACCTTAGAACAACCGAGGCCTGAACTATTAGAGCAATTATGTACCCTCGGTGACAGTCCCCGCTCCCATCTCAGTGCTGAGCATTCCCTTAAGCTGTCGCGTTTTCATGTTATCGACATTGACAGGGGGAGAGGGAGGAAATGTTGCAGCAAACGGGACACTGGTTTTAGATACTTCTCCAACAATGCGGCTGAAAATTACTAATAAAAAAAACTTATCATTAAGACAGACAACGTATTCCAGTACCCGAATAAACAGCCCTTGGCTGCTAACCTATGAAGTTTGCTTTAATAATAATAATAATAATAATATGATTTAACTCCAGTTGTAACCACCTAACTGAGAACCTCCTAATCAAGAAAAGAAAGTGGCCTTATTAAACGCAGACTAAGCCTCAGCTATTTCACTTTGTCTGATATTCCCCTTAGGGTGGAAAGAATTACCGTAGCTGTTCGCTGAAATTATTAAGGAAGTTTTCAAAGAACATGCATTTTGCGTTCTACTTGTTCTTTCTTACAGTTTTGGCCTCGCTGATAAAATAATAATAATAATAAATTGGGAATCTATATTGCATTGTTTCCATGACAGGATGATCAACTGCGCATTACAACAATGCATGGAATAAATACTAATTACATCATTACAACAATGCATAAAATAAATACTAATTACATTATTATAACAATGCATTGCAATAGATACCAGTTACATCATGTGTAGTATAAAATATTAAAAGCTGAGCTAACTAAGAACAAAAAGCCTTACTAAAAAAAATTATTCGCTAAGAGTTTTTTAAAATTGTCGACAGATTTAGCCATTCTAATTTCCGAAGGTAAATCATTCCAGAGTTTCGGCGCCGAAGCAACGAAAGCACGGTCGCCTAGGGTTTTTAGAGTTTTGAAATTCGGGTAAGATAGCAGTATTCCGTCATTAGAACGCAGTCCATATCTTTAATTTAAAGGCTTAATTTTGACAAGATCATTGATATAGGACGATGCGGATTTGCGAATTGCTTTGAAAGTTAAAAGTAGAACCTTAAAGTTAATACGAAATGAGACAGGAAGCCAATGCAACTGACGGAGGACCGGTGTTATGTGGCAAAATTTGCTTTGCATAACAACAAGTCTGGCGGCTGCGTTTTGAACTCTCTGCAA